TGTGTGGGGTGGGGGTGTGATGTGTCGGCCAGCCGTGCGGGGTGACGCGGCGCCGCCGGGGCGGTCCGCGCGCGCGGCCGTCCGGCCGCGGCGCGGCCGCGGGGGTTGACCTGCCTTGAAGTGTTTGTGGTAGGAGGTGGTGTGGGTGTGTGTTGTCGTGTGTGGTGGGTGATGGTGTGTGTGTGTGTCTGGAGAGCTGGATCGGTGTAAAATGAGTGCATTGGCATCGTCCCCACTAGTCCTGCGCTCTCGAGAGCTGGAGCACCGGGGAGAGCTTCCAAAATCGTTTAACCGAATAGGTCGCATTAGGAAAAAATACAGAAACCATCCTAGGTTCTCCTTCGGGTCGCTCTTACAACGGCCGCAAAACAGACGGGACCTGGCTGTCGCGCGGCTCGCGCCGTTCAAGGCCGCGCGCTTTTAAATGCCCCTGCTCGCCCCCCGGGGGCCCCTCGCGGTTATGAAAACACTTAGCACACGGGCTTCGAAGAACCACCATGACCGGTTGTGCCCTGGTTAGTGGTGATAAAGTACAATGATTAACATGAGGGAAGTTGGAGAATATTATCGTCCTTCATTTTCGAAATGAATTTTTGGCGGGAAACCCCAAAAAAAAAAAAAAACAAAAGGATATAAGAGAGATTGGTTTTGTTGTAAATTTTTTTTTTCCAAAGTTGATTTATGGTTTTATTTTGATTTGGAAAAAAATGATGTGGTCGGTCAAGCTTTGTCTTTTTGGAGAGAAATCGAACACGTTCCCCCATGTGTGTTGAGGTTTTTACCATCAAAGACCCAAAAGAAAACTTTTCATTATTTTTCCTAACCATCGTCTGCAATTCCACCCAAAACCTCTATTATTTTTTCCAAAGCACCCTAAAATACAATACACCAACACTAATAAAACCCCAAACCGCGGAAAAACCCAACCCACGACTAATTCGTACTATACACAAGATCGAACAAGCAAACAAACTACCACATCACCACACCCAACACGAGAACCGCAGCCAAGAAGACTTAGTGAGGAACCGATGTTTGCTAATCCGCTTAATGTCCTTAAAAATATTCTATAAAAGCGAAGACTGCATATATCGTCAAACGTGTTCGGAAAGCAACGTTTTTTTTTCCACCGAACACGTATAAACATGACAAAAAATGTTATAACTAAAACGCATGCAAAGATTAATAAAACCCAACAATAACACGCTAATTATCCCCAACATCCATCAAACTTACTCCCACAACTTAAACCAAACGATATCAAAAGAGAGGTGTCTTCTGGATTTTAGAATTTGATTAATACAGACAGGATTTTTCCAAGAAAAGTGGAAAATAGTTAAAAATATAATTATATATCAGTATGATATTGCAGATTTAAAGAAAGCTCATATCTCTCATGTTGTCCAATTATTTTTTTCTCTCCAAAAATATCTATAAACTTCTCTAAGGAGTTCGGTTCATTGTCAATTTACATACCGTTTTGTGAATCTTGTTTTGGGCTTAATTCCCTTTTGACTTGGTTCTGGAAAAAATTAAATGAGAAGGATTATTTCTTTTGTCTTCTTTCATTAGTTTATAAAGGCTGCTTCCTGGAGACCCACAACACTGGGTTTTTATTAAAGGTTCTTTGTGCAAATGTTGTGAAAGGATTATGAAAAAACAGTTCATATTTATTTTTATTCTGATATATAGAGATAAAGAAATAAGGAAGGAACACTGAAAAAGGAAAAAAGTGTTAATAAAAGCCTATAGAATGAGACGTTTTTGTATCTACAGACGTCAACTGGCTCTAATGGCTTTCAGGCCTGTATTAGTTGGAAACTCTGGCAACTTCACCGCGTACATGCCACTCGATCGTAACAAGGCTTGGAAGGTAGGACAAAAAGACCTTTAAAATTCATTACCTGTACTGGACCTCGGTGCAGTCATTATCATGTAGATAAAACTTTTCCATTCTTAAAGGGTAACAGGGTACTTATACTAACTGGCACACACACACACACAATTGATGAATAGCAATCAAAGTGAAAAAAAACTAAACAGATAAGAAGTATTTTATTTCCCATTTATCTGAAATCTGGTTGTTTTTTACTGTCTGAAAGAGATTTCTTCATCAGAGTAAGGCTGCTTCCTGGACACACACTGGTTTATTAAAGTCTTTGTGCATGTGTGAGATATGAGTCATTTATTAAAGAAAAGAGGAAGGAAAGGAAACACAAATGAACGAATAAAACTGTGATATGATGACGTACAATATCAAAACTCTCTTCTGTCTTTGAATCCCAGAACGACTCCGCTGTTTAAGGTTTCGGTTTACGGCTGAACAACTGATCCAAATCGCAATAATGTGTGTAATGAAACAACAGTGAAGTACCACTTTTAGATGTCGCACAGTACTGTAATAAACACATTTCTCCATTACAGTAAAATACCTTGTAATGTGGGTAATTTTGATTAAGCACGAATGACTTATAGTATATTTTAGGCTTACTGTATTTTTATATATATATATAT